TTGGAAAGTTTGCAATCTGATATCCAATGATCTATAAACAATGATTAAATGATACAAATCCTTGGAATTAGCTGAATTACAAATCTTTCAGATACACTTTGGACTGTTTAACAATTTCCCTTTAAAGATGGGTTTCTTCATTTTCTAGTGTCAAATTATCATGTATTTTAATCAAATCATTATTTTTTTATTGCATATAATTAATTTTATTTTAACCAATCATAAATGTCCATGTATGAACAGTCTGGAAAAAAGACTTTCTGGCCTTCTTAATCGGTCACTCTGCTGGTAATTCTCTTCTAATTTAGATAATTATGAATTAATTATGGACATGTGAGACAAACTGGTATTTTCATTAGTCATTAGAACACCTCTACTTTCTATTCATATATATTTTCATGAAAATAAAGGAATCCATCTTAAATAAAACTGAAGCAGTGGGAAATAAGTTCAATCTTAATTTGATAATATTTCTGTTAATATGCTAACAGATATTTACTGATAGGTAAGATTCCTGGTTTAACTTTCACTATCATTAATTTTTACTGACCAATCTTGAATATTTATATTGAAGTATGATATATATTTACAACAAAATACAAATTTACAGAAATATATAAATATGAGGAAAGAGGATTGATCAAGAGATAATAGATTGAATTGTGGAATAAACTTTATTCCAATGATATTTCTCTGATCTGTGTGATATCAAATTGTATCCCAAACTGATTGTTAGAATTTAGATAACCATTGTTTTTATTAGTGAGTTTAGACCAGCTGATAGACTTCAACCACCAGTCACCTCTCTTTAATCTCTCGTTACTATATGATCTTTTTACAGTTTTACGGTGAGCATCAATATTCAATAAACTGATTTGACCATCAATAATACAATAGTTTAACCTAGGATTGTCATCTTCTATTAGAATAATACCAATATTTATATAACCATTAGACCTAAATACACAACAACTCCATACCAAGTCACTGTTACTAGACTTGTCTTGACTGTAATAGTCAACACAATCCTTCTTAATATCATTTATATTAAAATAAAATTGATATGTATTAGACTCGTGTAGTTTGGGTATGTGATATTGTTTTAACACCATGGATCCTAACCTGTCAGTATTGAAACTAGAATCTTTTTCTTTCCAATCAAGATACTGAACCACTGATGGTGTTTCGACTTTCACATCTTTACACAATTCTTCTAGCTCTTTTATTTTCTCAAGTGAAACTAATATTTGTAAATCACAATCTTCTGTTAAAAAAGGCAAATTCGTCTCCAGATTCAGTTTTAAATTTTTTATATCTCCCATGATATTCTCTTCAGTTTTGGTCAATTTCGATCCTGATTCTTCAGATTTATTTTTGATATCTGTCATGATTCTCTCACTGCTAGCCTTTATATCTGCTATAATTTTATCAGTTTGTTTGGTTATTCTGCTACAAGCATCTTCAGTAAAACGACGGAGTGTCTCTCTCGCTTCTACTAATGCCACATGAGTTTCTTCCAAGACTTTGATTTTATTCTGGATGAATTTCTCCGAGGTTAAAACCAACTCTGTAGCCTTTTCTTTCGCATTTTCACATTCTACATCTAAATACTCGTGATCTCTGTGTTCTTTCAGAAAACATTTATGACATAACACACAGTGACAAGTTAGACAATAGTAGTCTATTGGTCTCTCTTTATGACATGGACAATGGTATTTTACCTTTGAAGAGGTTTTGTCTGTTAGGTGTCTTGTTACAGGTGTTGAAGGCCTATGCGGGGATGCTGAAACTAAACTAAAATTGGTAGTAAACATCTTAGCACCACCTTCTGGAATCTTAACATCCTGCTGACAAATAGGACAGGGGAATGTTTCTGTTTTATCACAAATCAATCTCTGTATACAACCTATACAGAAAGTGTGCCCGCAGGGTAAGATTTTTGGTGTTTTGAAATTTTCAAAACAAATAGAACATTCTGACGCGTTACTAGCTGAAGCTGTGGCCATTTTATTGTTCTATAAACACATTAGAGATGTCCTGGTTGAAAACACAATATTTAGATAATATTTAGATATAAAACACTCTGGAGATGTCCTGGTTGAAAACACAATATTTAGATAATATTTAGATATAAAACACTCTGGAGAAGTCCTGGTTTAAAACACAATATTTAGATAATATTTAGATATAAAACACTCTGGAGATGTCCTGGTTGAAAACACAATATTTAGATAATATTTAGATATAAAACACTCTGGAGATGTCCTGGTTTAAAACACAATATTTAGATATAAAACACTCTGGAGATGTCCTGGTTGAAAACACAATATTTAGATAATATTTAGATATAAAACACTCTGGAGATGTCCTGGTTGAAAACACAATATTTAGATATAAAACACTCTGGAGATGTCCTGGTTGAAAACACAATATTAAGATATAAAATACTTTGGAGATGTCCTGGTTGAAAACACAATATTTAGATAATATTTAGATATAAAATACTTTGGAGATGTCCTGGGAGAAAATAGAATATTCAGATATAAAATACACTAGAGATGTCCTGGTTGAAAATAGAAAATCACACTGTGTTTATGGTTTGTCAGGAAATATTTGATGAAGAAATTGTAAACATATATATATGTATATTAACATAACAATAGTTATAACTACCAATATAAAGTCTCAATCCAACACAGAACAGAATTAGTTCAGATTCCACGAATAATCACTTCACATGTTTCAATTTCTTAGAAATAACCTCGTCTCACTCAGTATACAGGTCATACAATGTGTAGAAACAGTTTGTCTTGTTGCACTGTATTTAAAACTGTTGTTTACGCCCTTTTAGGTTTCTATTCAGATGATGATATATCTCATAATATCAGCCTCTAATTGAAATGTAAGTCAATCCATAAATAACTGTGAAAATCAAGTTTAGGTGTAATATTTATTTTTCTGATATGTCACAGTGACCTCAATAAATATTACATTATATACTTCATCTTCCTGTTTTTGTTTTTTAGACACACCAGACCTCTTCTAAAGGCATGTTTCTATGTATATGTACTGGTGTATTTCTAAATAAACTGTACATCGAAATATATTGTGGAAATTTTTCAGATTCAAACGCAAACCCATTAGAAAACAGGCCTTAATAAATTCAATCCAAATGCGTTTTTCTTCTTAGTTGTGACCTAAACTCAATTTCATCACCTCGTTAATCGGTTGGCCCTGTGAGCGATTTTTTTA